AGGTAATTAAAGGTAAGATTACTTTCCCCTTCTTGATGCAAGGAGTCTGGTTGTAACCTATGGTAAGCAGTGATTGATGAAGCAGAGAAAGGAGGAGAAAGAAAGAGAGTAAGAAAGCACCCCTAGTGGAAGCTGTCATGCTGCAATCCCTTCTCCTTCATTTCTCAGTCCTTTCATAATTTTAGGCATACAAGCACATGGGCCCAGCACATTTCTCAAGCCACTGGGCCTTGAACTCCAACCACACAGTCAGCCATGTGGGATCCAGGCACCTTAACCATCATACCACCAGCTGGCTCTTTACCCTTACTTTGGCCCATTAAAAATCTAAATGACCCTTTCATTGCAAACAGTTTAGAAAGACTTTACTTCTAGGTCAGCCCTTTTTCATTTTCGCTTTGGAGAATTGTTATTTTTAGTTTTTGACTGGGCAACAAAAGGAGAAATTGAGAACCCAGACCTTTTCAGAAGGTCCCTGCTCAATTTCAAAATTAATTAGAAAGCTCCTAGCTGGTATTTTCTACCAAAGGACTATTTGCTAGCTGGGAAAAACCCACAAGCATTTTGTCACAGTTTTCTGGGTTGAATATTGACTGAGATTATAAAAGATACTAAGTTTGTTTTCTATACCATCTTGGTAGATGATATTGCCTAACCATAAACCAAAGTACAATTTCATTTTTCCAATCTTTCTAAGAAAAGTGAAAAGTTGCCATCATAAACTTGCAGCTTTCTTTTGTTGTTTGTTTCTTCAGGTTTTTGCGATAGGGTACATACCACCTGCAGGCCCAAGTCTTGATGTTTTTAAGCACTGCTTGTATCTTAATGAGTTAAGAGACAACTGGAAGCCCCACCCTATGTTTCTATCATAAACTAAGTCGTAAACCGGTCTATATATTATCACATGATGTAAAACTTGACCTTGCCATTGATCAGATCCTGATCTGTGCCATAGTCCCTTCTGTTTAACACAATATGTACTTCGGTCAATTTTTAGTATTTGTATCACTGACTGGATAATAATTTCATACCATCTTTAGTTTTTTTGTTTGTTTGTTTTTTGTTTTTTGAGAGATTTTTGCTATAGGGTGTGTGCACTTGCCAGAAAGACAAAGAGAGACAGAAAGCGAGAAATCACCCCCCCAGGGAGGATGTCCACTCTGCAATCCTTTCTCCTCTATTTTTCTCTCGGGATCTTGGGCACACACACATGCACACACATGCCTGGTGTGAGTTTTAAGCTGTTGGGTCCAAGACTCGACCCGCAGTTGACATGATAGTCCAGCAATGTAACAATTACACCATCTGCTGGTCCCTTAGTTTTGCTCTTTATTAGGCTCCCTTCAGAAATTATATGAGAAGTGGAAAGTTTTTATAGACCTAAATATACCCTTATATATTGTTTACAACTGTTCCCTTCATTTTTCAGAGAGGGAAAGACTTACCAGTCACCTCATGCTGAAGAGCTTTTTTCCCATCATATCTTAGCAGCCATCAATAAATTAATCCCTGAACCCAGGCTGATGCCAATACAAGCAGGTATGCTCATTCAGCAGTACCAGAGATTGGGTTGCTCTAGTCATCACTTGAAAAAGTGACTAGAGGTGGTGAATAAGGAAATGAATTAATTTGGCAAGGCCAACACCAGTGAGAGCAGACTAGCGTCTATAACCATCTCTGCTGTATGAGGCACAAAACTTATTAAAGGAAGAGGTATATGTAAAAACAAGAGGGAAGTTATTAATTATCTTTGGGCAAAATGATGAGGAGGCCCATTAAATGTCTTTAACAGAACCACAGGATCACTGAGACTCAATAGTGTCAAGGGAAAATTACTGCTTGAGGGTCAGTTTCCCTTCTTAGCATGTAAGACAGGATGGAATGACTGGGACATAAAGATAAGCAATGATTAAAATAGTAGCAGAAGCATACAGTCAGTCATCGCAACTCATAGATTTTGATTTAGAAGCTACAGGTGGCTTCTCAATTCTTGAGCTGTGAGAGTCTTTTCTGCTACACTTGGGAAAATGCTGGTGGCATATTTTCCCTTCCTTATAAGCAATGATTAAAATAGTAGCAGAAGCATACAGTCAGTCATCGCAACTCATAGATTTTGATTTAGAAAATTTTGAGCTGTGAGAGTCTTTTCTGCTACACTTAGGAAAATGCTGGTGGCATATTTCCCCTTCCTTGCTCCATGTCCAGGTATTTGTAAAGACTCAGTAAGATCATTGTTAACTTCTATTAGTTACGCATTAGAATTGAGAACAGACTGCTTTCCCTATTTCCAAAATCCTTTCCAGAGGGCCTAGGGGGAGTTGCACGCACAAACATTAATAGATCAGTTTTGCCCATTGATAACAGGACTCTTCCTACATCCTTTCTCTGCCATAGTATCTTTGTGATGTATATTAAGTCTCCTTATCTCTATTAAAGTACCTTTGCTGATCTCTTCCTGAGACACGGACCATCCTTTCAAATCAACAACCTAAAAATTCTAAAACCCACCTCTAACCTGTGAGCCCTCCCACTTCCAGATGACCCACCTTTTGGACTGGGCCAACAGAAAAATTCTTCTTGCTAAATTTCAAATTGTATCTCTCATTCTCAAAACCAAATAAAAGGAATCCCCATATTTAAACATCCTGAGAAAGACACATTTACCTTTGTTGAGGTCAGTCACTCTTTAGGAATAAAGTTTAGGAATGAAGTGTTTCTTGTGTTTAGGAATAAACATTAGTTATTAATTCTATAGAGTTGGTTATTTCTGTCCACACATTCTAGCTTACATGTAACTAGTGACAAATCCTAGCAATCATGTATATTTTATTTACATAATTTTATACTTATATTGAACTTACAGAATTAACATTAAACATACCATATGCAATATAGTTAATTGAAGAAGAGAGAGAAGAAAAAAAAAGGTTAACAAACCAAGTCTCAAGTCCCAAGAGTTCAGAGTCCAGCAACAAAACCTAGTTCTGACACTATCCCTACCTTGCAAGGCAGTCTCAAGAAGGTGACTTTTTTCTCAGGATGATCCTGCAACACAAGGATTTCAGTATGGAAGACACTGTGAGAATAAATGCACTGTACTGGTAGCATATGCAAGTCTTAGTGCCTTGTCTTTTTGTATTTACAAAAAACCAAGTTCTATTGCTTATTTAAGATGTCATATGTGACCCACATACTTGTTAAATGAACAAGGGCATTCTCAACAATGCTGTTCAAATCATTCTTACAAATAAGTCACACTTCAAAAACAAGTTTTAGATATGAATCACTCTTGCTCTATACGCAAAGCATCACATTTTTTACTTCCTGTCACCTCAGGTAATACCAATTGCCTGTCAGCTCTGTGTACATCACCCACATTGGAAATGTAACGCGCATATAGTGCTATATTATTATTCCATGTTATAAACAATTACTCATGTATTCAACTTCTACTTAATACATTTGCCTTCTACCTCTGTCTATGTTTTCTCCATATGCTTCAGACTTCATTTAAATCTGATGGTTTTCAAGTAAGAATTCTTGGATAACCCTCTATTTGGCCTATTATTTCACTACCCAACAACATGTGTGTCTCTAGTAGTATCATCACATATTGTCTTTTATGTATAACTCATTATTTAATTTTCTGCAACTTCCCAGGTGAATGTCAAGCTCATAGTCACTTAAACCCTAAGTTTTTTGTTTTTTGGGGGTTTTTTTGTAAATCCCTGAGGAATCAGTGGCTTGGTTTTTTTTTTTTTTTTTTTTGTTTTTGTATTTACAAAAAACCAAGTTCTATTGCTTATTTAAGATGTCATATGTGACCCACATACTTGTTAAATGAACAAGGGCATTCTCAACAATGCTGTTCAAATCATTCTTACAAATAAGTCACACTTCAAAAACAAGTTTTAGATATGAATCACTCTTGCTCTATACGCAAAGCATCACATTTTTTACTTCCTGTCACCTCAGGTAATACCAATTGCCTGTCAGCTCTGTGTACATCACCCACATTGGAAATGTAACGCGCATATAGTGCTATATTATTATTCCATGTTATAAACAATTACTCATGTATTCAACTTCTACTTAATACATTTGCCTTCTACCTCTGTCTATGTTTTCTCCATATGCTTCAGACTTCATTTAAATCTGATGGTTTTCAAGTAAGAATTCTTGGATAACCCTCTATTTGGCCTATTATTTCACTACCCAACAACATGTGTGTCTCTAGTAGTATCATCACATATTGTCTTTTATGTATAACTCATTATTTAATTTTCTGCAACTTCCCAGGTGAATGTCAAGCTCATAGTCACTTAAACCCTAAGTTTTTTGTTTTTTGGGGGTTTTTTTGTAAATCCCTGAGGAATCAGTGGCTTTGGTTGTTTTTTTTTTTTTTTGATATTAAAACGAAATAGATGGTGGGTCACAAAAAATTTTGATTAAAAAAGTCTCTTTTGGGGACCAGCAATTGGCGTAATGGCTATGTCGCTGGACTCCCATGCAGTCGACCACAGTTCGAGTCTCAGACCCAGTAGCTTAAACTCATGCCAGGCATGTGTGCATGCGTGCCCAAGATCCCAAGAGGAGAATGGAGGAGAAGGGATTGAGGCGTGGCCATCCCCCCTGGGGGGTGATTTCTCACTTTCTGTCTCATTGTCTCTGTCTTTCTAGCAAACACACATGCCCTATAGCGAAAACCTCTCCAAAAAAAAAAAAAAATCTCATTCATTCTACTATTCAGGGAAAATAGCAGTTATTGCACGGATTAAGATGGAATTTTGTCATGTGACATGAAATGGGAATAAATGTTCAAAATTACTATGAATATTTCTTTTTTTGCTATATCATCCTACTCTTTTTCCTTTACTCTTCTTTTTCTTTCTGTCCTTTCATATTTTACTCTTGGTCCATGCTTCATTTCTACATAATCACTATTTTTTGTATTGTCACAATTCTTACTCTACCTCCTATTAATCTTCCCAATCATACAGGAATCTGAGAGAAAGAGGAACCTCAGAAGTCAAGTCAAGCAAAAGCAGGGGAACAGTAGCTATGGATTCAGCAATCCTAGTGAATGTAAAGGAGGAAGTGACCTGCCCTATTTGCCTGGAGCTCCTGACAGAACCCCAGAGCCTAGACTGTGGACACAGCTTCTGCCAGTCCTGCATCACTGCAAACCACTCCAAGTCCACACTATGCCAAAAAGGGGAGAGCAGCTGCCCCGTGTGCAGAATCAGATACCAGCCTGGGAGCCTACGGCCTAATCGTCATCTGGCCAAAATAGTAGAGCGGCTTGAGGAGGCCAACTTGAGTCCAGACAAGGGGCAGAAAGTACACCACTGTGCACACCATGGAGAGAAACTCCTACTCTTCTGTAAGGAAGATGGGAAAGTCATTTGCTGGCTTTGTGAGCGGTCTCAGGAGCATCGTGGTCACCAGACATTTCTCACGGGGGAGGTTGTCCAGGAATACCAAGTAAGAGACCAGGATGGAAGGAATTCAGGGCAGAAATAACAACTACTAGAAAACCTCTACTTTGCATTATACTTTAATTACTTTGTGATTTCTGTGATTTCTCTATACCATACTTAATTTCCAAAACTTTTTAAAGGATACTTTTGTTCATTGCATCCAGTTACAAGAGAATAAGCCATGAATACAACGTCTTGGTCAAGAGTAAAGATGTTTGTACCTTGAACTGGAGGGATAGAGGCTTGGGACCCTTGACAAATTCTGATTATCCCTTTTGGAAGAAGGGTAACTGGGGTGGGTTATCTGTGTAATCATAGAGAGAAAATGGTGAAATCTATTACCTAAGATGTAAATGGCACATTCACCACCTCAGATTTTCTTTTAAATTATCTCTTCTAATTTTCATTCTAACTATTTTTGAAGCTTTATTCTCTTCAGAGGTGAAACTGATTATTTCCATGTTTATTTTCTACCTAGATGTTGACAAGTTCATAATTCAACTCTGATGTGATTCCTTTCTCACAGGAGAAGTTCCAGACAGCTCTGAGGGAACTGATGCAGAAGCAGCAGGAAGTTAAGAAGTGGAAGGCTTACATCCATAAAGAGAAAACTTCCTGGAAGGCAGGAGACCCTTCCTAAGGGAAGGAGCTGAAAACCTTGACAGGATTTGGGGAAATAACTCCCTTCCTCTATTTTCCTTGATAGTTTATAAACGCAGAAGTCATTTGCTTAGGCCTCTTCTCCATTGTTTCCCTGTATGAGTAGAGGTGAGACAGTGAATATTTCACAGAGGAACATAGCTATTTGAAAGGAGATAAATACATGAAGATCTCTTTGGTGAGAATGACTAGTGATTCCTGTACTCTGTTCCTGTTTTCTGATTCTATTACTCTACTAGGGGATAATGTCTGGCAGTGGCTTTTCATTCTTGTCTCAGTGTTCAAGCTTTGGTAGGGCTTTTAATTTGAAATGAGCAGTAGCACAGGCATGTATGAGTGTCCTGCACAGATGAGTGAATGCTAAGCCACAACTAAGTGTCACATTTGGGGTTAGGATGAGACTTGGTAATGCTGATGAAGGTCATTGTTATAGAACATCATGAAGAAAAAAGCTAGGAAAAATTAGTAACCCTAAGAATTGTTCCCTATTCCTATCTCCTTTTCATGAGAGAAATCCTCAAAGAAAACAGTTCTTTTTATGTCTCCCAACTTCTGTCCAGTAGGCTGAATCCCTGTCCTGTTTTCATTTCTAAAGAATCAAACTCAGGTTGAAAAAAAAAGAGTTCGGGCAGAGTTTGCAAAACTGAGAGGCATCCTAGACTCTGAGGAGAAGAAAGAACTGCAGAAGTTGGAGGAAGAGGAGGAAGATGTTCTACACAGCCTTGTAGAGTATGAAAAGGAACTGATCCAGCAGAGCCAGTTGGTGAAAGAGCTCATCTCAGATTTTGAGCATCGGTTAGAGGGGTCAACAATAGAGCTGCTGCAGGTAAGAGAATTGGGCAAAATGTCTACATCTGAAATTTAGAAAAATAGAAGTCTACTTTCTTTTCTATTGTGTTGCAGTGCTGTTTCTGTTAGTAGCACTGAAGATCTTTGGACCCTGAAGTATCCTTTCTCAGAACCAATTTCAGTGATTATTAGAATAATTGAACATATGTGTACCAAGAGAATATACCATTTGTATTAAAAATCTCATATTGATTAAGTGCGATGTAAAAATTTGAACTTGGAGAAAAGACCCATTCATATTGTGGTATTTATGGGTCCCCATTCTTGGTAATCTAATGTTGCGTATGTATCAGCTTAGTCACTGGCAAACAAATGTACTTTATGTTGCAAAAGATTTTTTTTTCCTTATAGAAGGAATTGAAATATCTCCCTCTTTTTTATAAATTCTGAAAAAATTTGTGAAAATTTGGATTATTTCTTCCTAAATAAATCCATCTATTGTATTCTTCTTCTTTTTTTATTTTTTTAATAGTGTGTGTGCATGCAATGGAGAGGGAAAAAGAGAGAGAGGGAAAGTGAGAAGGCATCTCCTGGAGGGTGTGACCACACTGCAATCCCTTTTCATTCATTCTCCTTTTAGGATTTTGGGTACACACACACACACACACACACACACACACACACACACACATGTGCTTGGCATGTTTGTCAAGCCATTGGATCTAGGGCTCCGAATGCATAGTCAGCCTTGTGGAATCCAGTCACCTTAATCACCATGTCACCAGCTAGCCTGTTTTGTTTTCTACAAATTCATAATTAATTTTTTTACTTCTATGAGATTTGCTTGGATTTCTTACATGTCTATTTATTTGAGAGTTTTTTTATTTATTTATTTTTTTTTTGCTATAGGAAGCGTGCACTTGCTGAAGAAAGAAAGAGAGAGAGCAGAAAACAAGAAATCATGCCCAAGTGGGAATGGCCATGCCACAATCCCTTTTCCTCCAATCTCTTCTTGGGATTTTGGGCATACATGCACACCCACCCAATGTGAGTTTTAAGCTACTGGGTTCAGTACTCAAACCGCTGTCAAACATGGGAATCAAGTGACATAACCATTATGCTATCCACTGGTTCCTTACACTTCTTTTTTAATGTATGTCTGTAGGAATTTGTTTCCATAATCCAAGTAGTCAAATTTGTAGGCAAAAAGTTCATCATAAGACTCTTTTATATTCCCTTCAACTCTACTAGGAAAACAATGAAAAATTATTTAAAAAAAGAAAAGAAAAGAAAAGAAAGTCACGGTAGGAGCATGTGTGTGTGTGCCTAAAATCTCAAGAGGAATATGGAGAAAAAGGGATTGCGCCATGGCCATCTCCCCTTGGGGATGATTTCTCACTTTCTCTCTCTCTGTCTCTCTATGGCAAACACATTCACCCTTCAACAAAAACTTAAACATTAAATAAATTAATAAATATGACCCCTAAAGCATAGGCTACAATACCAAATATAGACAAGTGGGATTACATAAAGCTAAAAAGCTTCTGCATGACAAAGGAAACAGTAATTAGAGCAAAGAGAAAGCCCTCAGAATAGGAGATAATATTTGCAAACTATGCTTTAAATGAGGAAATGATAACGAGAATATGTAGGGACCTCAAGCAGCTCATTCACATAAAAACAAATAATACAATTTAAAAATGAGTAAATTAATTGAATAGCTTTCTAAGGAAGACATATAAAAGGTGGAAATGCACATGAAAAAATGTTGGACAACTTTTTTTAGATAGATTTTTTGCTACAAGGTTTATGTGACAGAGAAACAGAGAGAAGACTAGTAAGAAATCACCACCACCACCACCCCCCCACACACACACACACACACAAAGGGAATGGCCATGACACAATCCCTTCTTCATTTTCCTCTTGAGATTTTTGGGCATACAACCATGTGCCCAGCATGAGTCTAGGCCATTGGGTCCTGGACTTGAACTGCAATATCTGTGTGGGAGTTGTGGGAGTCCAGCAATGAATATAACTATTACACCATCTGCTGGTCCCGTTTTGTTTTGTTTTTTTTTTAGAGAGAGTTTTTTGTTATAGGGTGTGTGCTCTCACCACAAGGAGAGAGAGGGACAGAGAGACAGAAAGTGAGAAATCACCCCTTGGGGGTATGGCCACACTGCAAACACTTCTCTTACATTCTCCTCTCAGGATTTTAGGCTCCAATGCACATGTGCCCAGCATGAGTTTTAAGTTGCTGGGTTCAGTACTCAAATTGTGGTAGACTATGTGGGAGTACTGCAATGTAACCATGATACATACCGTCTGCTGGTTCCAATACTTGGCAATATCTTTGTATTTCTTTTGGTGTGGATTTAAATTTAATTCCTTTGTAGTCAGAGAACATATATTTTATTTTTTAAATATATTGAAACTTGTTTAATGGCCTAGAATATTACATATTCAGAACAAATGTTCTCTATTAATTTTAAAAGAATGTGTATTTTGCATTAATTGTTTGAAATTGTAAATATCAGTTAGGTCAAGATGGTTGTTGGGACCAGCAGTTAGCGTAATGGCTATGTCGCTGGACTCCCATGTAGTCGACTGCAGTTCACGTCCTGGACCAGGTGGCTTAAAACTCACGCCGGGTGCGTGTGTGTGCGTGCCCAAGATCCTGAGAAGATAATGGAGGAGAAGGGATTGTGGCGTGGCCATCCCCCATGGGGGGTGATTTCTTGCTTTCTGTCTATCTGTCTCTCTCTGTCTGTTTGGCAAGCACACAAAAAAAACTTCTACAAAAAAAAAAATAAAAGATGGTTGTTAATATTCACTCGTTCTACATCCTTTAAGGTTTTTACACAGCTATTCTATCATGTATTAATAAGTTATTGAAATCTTCAACTCTTACTGTTTTATTGTCTGTTGTTCATTTTGCTTCTTTTTTCTTTTTAGATCATAATGCCATAGCGTGGCAGAGAGAAAGAGAGACAGACAGACAGTGGGAAAATGAGAAATTGTCTCCCAGGGGGAAGGTGTAAAGGGGGGGCCACACCATAATCCCTTCTTCTCCATTCTCCTCTTGGGATTTTGGGTATGCACAGATGCTCTCAGCATGTTTTTCAAGCCTCCAGGTCCATGACCCAAACCACAGAGTCACCCATGTGGAATATAGTGTCTTAACCACCATGTCACGTGATGGCCCTGCATTTTAATTCTTTAACATTAGTTTTGTGTATTTTGAAGCTCTGTTCTTAGCTACATTTACATTATTATATCTTTCTAATAGAATGAACCATTTTTTATTTTGAACTATCACTCATTCTCTAGTAATAGTTCTTGCCTTAAAATCTATTTTGTCTAATATTAATTCACCTGCTTCACTGATTTATAGTTACTGCTTGCACAGTATATATTTTTTATCCATTCACTTTTGCCCTATGTGTGTTTTCAAATCTAATATATATCTTTCTTAAAAGAAATATTTCTTTTTATTTATTATTATTTTTTAATCTGAGCAGAGAGAGACATAGGGAGAGAGAGAGAGAAAGGGAAAGTGAGAAAGTAAGCTGCCAGGTCTGAGACTTGAACTGGGGTCCACCATGTGGGAGTCCAGAGCCTCAACCACCATGTCACTACTGGCCCCCCTAATATGTATCATATAGACATTGATAAAGAAATCTTTTATATCTAGTCTGATAATATCAGCCTTTTGAGGGGGTTTATTGAAAGTACAACACTTAATGCAATCATTGATGCAGTTTTATTTAAATTTACTATTTTTCTATTTGTTTTGTGTATTTCTCCTGTCTTTTTTTATTCTTTCCTTTTTTCCTATTTGGCTTTTTTTGTGTTAAATAAATGTTTCCCAGTGAAGACTTAATTTTTCTAATTTTCTAGCTGTATTCTTTTAGTTGCTTTCCTAGTTGTTTGCTCTAGTGATTACGTGCCTTATGCTACTACAATCTACTTTGAAAAAATACTAGCTTATTTCCAATAAAATGTGAAAATGTCCCTCTAGTATTGCTTCATTTTCTTCCTTATTCTTTATGATCTAAAATACATTACAGTGACCAGCAGATGGCATAGTGGTTAAGGTGCTGGACTCCTACACGTCTGAGCATAGTTCAAGTCCCAGACTAGCAGCTTGAAATTTGTGCCAGGTTGTGTGCATGTGTGCCTGATTCCTACAGGAGAATGGAGGAGAAGGGACTGTGGCATAGCTGTTCCTCTCTGTTTCTCTCTTTCTTCCTGGCAAGTACACATACCTTATCACAAAAAAATCTAAAAAAAAAAAAAAATACATTACATACATATATGTTGTACTATATATTATGAATATTGTACTTATTGTGTTGCTAATCTTATGTCTTTTAAAGTTATTAAGAAAATAAATGAGAAAATAAACTATAACATGTTTTACATTAATTCAGATTTGTTGCATTTCCTCGATGTTTAGTAATTTTTTTATAAAAATTTTCTTTCTGACTGAAGGAGTTTTTTTTAAGGTTAATCTGCCCAGAAACAAACTCTCTCACTCTCTTTCTGTAAATAATGTCCTTTTCTTTATTGTTAAAGAATATTCTTGCTTTAAACAGAATTCTGGTCTGACAGTTTCTTTGATTTCTCTAGTGCTTTCATTGTGTCTATCTAGTCCTTTGTACCCTCTATTGTTTCAGATGAGGATTCAGTCATTGATCATTTAAATGGTGTTCTTTGTGTGATTTTTTTTCCTCTTGCTGCTTTAAATAAATTTCCCTTTATTTTGGTCTTCAGAAGTTTGCTATAGTATTACCTGCAGTTTCATTTTATTTATCTAACTGGGGGTTTGTTGAGTTTAAATAATTACATTAATATTTTTTATAGGAATTAGAAAGTCTTTTCCTAATTATTTTTTTAATTCCTTTTTATCTCTACTGTCCTGCTAAAAATTCCTTTACATGAATGCTGGTACACTTGACATCACTCCACTGTCTCTGAGTCTCTCAATTTTTTAAAATCTTTTTTCTTTTGCTCTTTAGATTAGACACTTTCTGGTGATTCAGCTTCTGATTCAATTATCTTTTCATACGCAATCTTATTGTGAGGCATTCGTCTATTAAACATTTTAGATTTGTTACTTTATTTTAATCTTCAAAATTTCTATTTTTTAATTATTTCTATCTCCTTGTAAATCACTATCTTTTTAAAGTTTTATTTATTCATTTATTTTTATGAGTAGTATATAGACAGATGAGCAAATAATCTACGTCTTGGAGAATATACTTGGAGAGAGTGAACCTAGGCTACAAGAGACCAAACATGTTGGAACTTATACATTGTGGTGATAAAACAGTAAATGGCTGAAAACTCTTGAGAATGTAGACCAAACTGGCCTAGTAGTAGTGTTTAGGTAAATACTGTACTGTTTTGCACAATGACTGAAAGACTATTAGTAACATAATGGACAGTGATGTATAAGAGAGTGCCGAGGGGCTAGCAGGTAGCATAGGGCTTTAGGGGCCAGGCACCCACATGGTCGACCATGGTTCAAGTTCTAGCCGCTTGAAACACACTAGGTGAGCGTGCGTGTGTGCCCAATATACTGAGAGGAGAATGGAGGAGAAGAGATTGAGGTCTGGCCCTCCCCCCAGGGGCTGATTTCTTGCTTTCTGTCTGTCTCTCCAGAGAGTGCACACACGCTATAGCAAAAATCTCTAAAGAAAAGTGGTTGGTGTTTCATATTAGGCATCTTGAGCTGCTGGTCCTGTTATTTCTTCACTACTGAATATATTAAGCTGCATTTAAGTGATAAATCTAAATAAAAAGATTAGGTTGCAGGGTCAGCAGGTGGCATCATGGTTAAAGTGCTGGACTCCTACATGGCTGATCCCTGTGTGAGTCTCAGACCTGATGGCTTGCTTCCTCACTTTCCCTCTCTCTCTCTGTCTCTCTCTGGTGAGTGTATGTGTCCTATAGCAAATTAAAAATAACAATAATAAAAATAAAATTAAATAAATAATTGTAAAAATAATAAGTAAAATGTCTAAAAATATTAGACTGGAAATCAACTGAATATATGTGTGTTAGATTTAAGGGAGTGAAGGAGGTCAATTAGAGTTAGTGTATAAAACGAGAAGAGAGGCTTGTGAAGCATTTGCTTTTATTTAATACACTTGTTTACTTGTACGTTCTGCAAACTTCTTGAGGCCTACTATTTATTCATCTTGGATTCTCTAAAATCTAACATAATGCTTAATGAATAATAGTGCATCAGTTCACATATCTATTGAGAAATAAGTTTATTAATTTCTTACTTTCATGATAGAAAAGTAGAGTGAGAAAGAGGAAGAGAGAAAGAGAAAGAAAAGCACCCCTGACAGGTTGTCACATGGTGATCCTTCAACCTGCCCAGCCAGCCAGGATCATGAATACACATGCATGTACAAGCCATGTACATGTTGACCTAAAAATTGAACCCATGTCTTCCATATGGCTTCCAGCTTTGCAGAGTATTTTGCTGCCACAATTGCTGGGCCTCATGACTATTCAAATCATCAGGAGACAAAAACAGTTGGAGGAAAAAGTATGTGTCTCTATTTACTTGTAAAAATATTTCATATTCATATAATCAGAAAGCCTTCAATTTCCTCCTATTTCTGCAAGGACCCTGTTTCTACTTTAAAAGGAACTTAAACACATGACTCTTGTTATCTTTATTTTCCTGTCTATCACACTGGGATGATTTCTCTTTCTAGCACATCAGAGTCTGGTGGGAGCATGATACAGCTTTGTAAATGAAGGCACCTCTGCAAATGAGGAGAGGCTACTATTCTTAACTCCTGGTTTTCCTTTCTCCCTAGGATGCAAACGGCATCATGAAAAGGTACGTATAGGAGAGCACAGAGGATATATATTGTACTGTGAGAAGAGATGCATAGGTTTTTGAATGATAAGATCAATTCTTATAATTGGAATTATTAGTGATTAATTACAATAAAACGTCTCCCGGGGCAGTAAATTTCGGTATAGTGTTATCTTAAGCATCTACTCATAAATCAGAGTTTCGGTGTTCTTTAACTATTGAGAATAGACTTTATTATATGATAAAAGATTTAGATGGCAGTGGGGGTCACACCGTCGAGTCAGAATTGGTAATAGCGGTTAAGTGTTCCAATTTCAGACACCCTTGACATCGCCACTTTACACATCCTGTGTGCCTTTAGCTCTGCTTCTGTGTTTAATAGGTGCTTGACTTACTGTTGAGAGAATGTGTCTTCCTTGTCAGTTAACTGCCCAAAATTTTCCCCTGGACAATTCGTATATATTTATGTTTGTTCTTCTGTTATCAATAATAGAGACCACATCCTTCTTAGTAGCTCTATTTAGATTTCCAAAAGCACACTTGAATCACTGAAAACAATATTTTGATCCTTTGCAAACAGTTGGTCCATTTCAGTCACATACTTTACAAAAGTACAACAAGGGGGTATTCTGTGTCTCAAACTGCATGCCAATACGACAGAATCAACCTTTTCCCAAACACATGACACTCCGTACAGTATTAGTATGAAGTCCACAATATCTCCTTTGCCTCATGTTTATAATTTTTCCAAAGAAGAGGAAAGCTTAGATGTTATCTGAAGGCCTCCTTCGGAAAAGCTTTGAATATGTGGGACTTTCCTAATAGGCTTCCCACCCTGATAGGTCTCTAACACTCAGGAGTCTGTTTGCAACCTCACTTTTGGACTGTCTCCCTGGGTACCCACATATATGGCAATAATGTTTCCATGTATTATATACTTCTTCTTCTTTTTTTTAATTGCTAAAGAATACTCATGCTTGCCAGGGAGAAACAGAAAAAAAGGGAGTGCAGAGTGAGAAAACGCTCAGCTGGGATTTTTGGCATGCTGCATATGTGCCCAGCGTGTTGTCCATGTCACTGGAGTCAGTACTCAAGTAGTGCAGTTAGCCATGAGGGATCTGGCTTCTTCAATCATTTGGCTGGCCCAGATGGGTTTTTCTTTTTTTAAAACAGCAAAGTTTTCTCTATTTTTAGGGTTTTGGCCATAGGGCACATGTACTTGCAAGAGAGAGAGAAAAAGAGAGAGACATAAAGTGAAAAATCACACCCCCAGGGGTTATAGCCATGCCACAATACCTTCTCCTACATTTTCCTCTGGAAATTTTGAGAATGCATGCATACACACACACAGCATGATTTTTTTTTCTTTTTAGACATAATCATTTTATTTAAAAATTATTATTATTATTATTATTATTATTATTATTTAATTTGCTACAGAGCACATGTGTTCACCAGAGAGAGAGGAAAAAAGAGAGAAAATGGAAAATGAGGAAAAAAGTTGCCAGGTCTGGGACTCGAACTGTGGTTGGCCATGTAGGAGTCCAACACCTTAATCAACATGCTACCTGCTGACCCATCCTCCCCATGTAATTTTTTTTAAAAGTTATATATTATTTATTTGTATAAGTCCTTCCAAAACTCTACGATATCATTTTCTAAATTGAGAAAACAAAATCAGAGATTTGTTTCAAGCCACCAGGCCTGAGACATAAACTGCAGTTGGCCATGTGGGAATTCAGAGCCTTAACCACTACCCCACCTGCTGGCCCCCAAGATTTGGTTTTGAAATTTATTATCTTATCATTTCCTTTTAATTCTAAGAGGTAGGAAGGAAGAAATTTATCATTTTCTTTCAGAAGGAGGAAACCGCTTTGAGAGGTAAGACATCCCCAAAGTCATACAGAGAAGTGGAAAGGTGGATATGAGCACATTTCATCTGGCCCCAGAGTCAGGAATCTCCCTCTTTCCTTCTAAGGAATACAGGTTGAAGAACATCAGTGAGGTGAAGTGACAGGAAGTTAGTGGTGCTCATGAGACAGAAGGTGATTGTGGGGTGGTCCATTGTTTTTATTTCTAGGAATGAGACCTTGATTGTGAACAAGCCAAAAACATTTCCCAAGAAACAAAGAAGGGTGTTCCGAGCTCCTGATCTGAGAGGAATACTGCAAGTGTTCAAAGGTGAGGAGAGGGACCCAGTGTGTGGTTGGTAATTCTAGTGGTAGAGGGTCTTAAATGGGGAAGAGGGTTCAGTTTCTAGATGCAGAAAGAGGAGGTAAGGGAGGTTGGGTATTGCATGCTGCTGATGCAGTTATGTTAGACAGGGAATGGCCAGGTGTCTGGTTCATTCTCTCATACCAGTTCCATGTGCCACCATAACTGCTTCTACTTTTACTAATCTGGAGAGGAAATAGATTTTAGTGCCAACTTCTTTGCTTATGTTAATATTATGGATTTTTCTAATTTCAGAGCTGACAGATGCCCAATGCTACTGGGGTAAGGATAAATCACAATTTTATTAAATTACCTGCTTGGTTTTTTTTTTTTTTTTGATCTTTTAGAGTTTGGTGTTCTCTTGTAGGTCTCATGATTTAAGGCCCATTTTTCCCCCAACATACACATAGTGCTCATGTTTTTGTAGTATTCTACTTCTCCTTATAATACATGACAGAAATTTCCTCTTAAGGTAAGGCACTGTCACAATACAACAAATAAAGCTGCATCATATCCTTTACTCATCTCTCTAATTTTTCTACAGCTAAGATAACATTTGCTCCAAGCAGCAATTCAGATATTGTCATTTCTGTGGATCGAAGACAAATAAGATATAAACGCAAGTGGACATCATATTACGGTAACAATGAAGATGATGGCGTCCTGGGTTCCCCTGGTATCACATCAGGAAAACACTACTGGGAGGTAGATGTGTCCAACAAACGTGACTGGATCCTGGGAGTATGTTTGGAATCATGTTCCAAGCCCATTGTACTGGGTGGTATGAAAAAAGTTGTAAATTACCAGCCTCAATATGGCTACTGGGTTATAGGGCTTCAGAATCGATCTGAATATAAAGCGTATGAAAATTCTACCTCCCGTGATCCTTCGATCTTGACCCTGTCCCTGACAGTTCCTCTTTGTCGTGTTGGGGTTTTCATAGACTATGAGGCTGGCACTGTCTCCTTTTTCAATGTCACAAACCATGGGTTTCTCATTTATAAATTCTCTTCGTGTTACTTTTCTCAGAATGTTTTCCCCTATTTCAACCCTTGCCAATGTGAAGTTCCCATGGTTCTGTGCTCTCCAGGGTCCTGAACCGTCTTACGCCCTCACCCACTTCTGTGCAGAGCTCATGCCCTGGGTGCAGTTCATGCGCCTGAGCTCATCTGCACCATGGTGAGCATCTTTTCTGTGCCATCCCCCTTCTTTCCTCTTGAATGTCCTAGTCGAATTAAGATGTGCAAATTGGCTCGTACCATATTCTTTCCAATATTTTATTTGCACCTAGGAGAGATTTTTTTCCTTACCATTTCTCAGGTTCCCAAGGAAAAATTACTGATCCCTCATAAAAAGAAAAAATTAAATTAAGAAGGACTACAATTGTTGTAGCACCTCTGCCAAGTCTTTAAAATCCAAATCCTTATAGATACTGATGAAGGGGATGAAGGAAAGATTGTAACAACTTCTGCATTAGGAAAGACCAAATATAGAAGTCACTCATTATAAAATGAGTCCTCAGCAGTATGTCAATTGACTTATCATGCCTCCTGTTTCAATTTACTAATCATGCCTCCTGTTTATCAAAACCTTAGGGGGAAAAAGCATAAGTAATAGGTACTAAGAATAGAGGTTTTCGTTCCAGAGTGTCTGAGTTCCAGTCCTATCTTTTTTACATACTGGAAACTGGGGAAATCAAACTATAATTTTAGCAGAGTAATCTTAAGTAACACACAAATGTCTGTTTTTATTTCCTTAAATTAATTTTGGTATAAAATTTATCTAATACTTTGGATCATTGTGAGAAAATCAATCCATTAAGTATAAAATAACTTTTGAAGTATCTCAATTTAATCATAACCATTTGCTGGTCTAATTAATAAAAAATGTAAAATGCGTCCGTGTCCTATGGTACAGAATTTGTGTTCAGAGGGCGTAAGTTCCACTTTACTGAATTCTCATCTTCTCAATCACAGGCATTGCTGGCAACCTCTTCCATTCCATTACTTTCTTCAGTACACGTACCAATACAAACAATTAGAATTTTATTGTAATTTTGGTGTGAGTACATAATAGCTCTTATCAAATAAGCAAAATGGAATTCAAAATATCATTTGGAAATAATAGTAGTAATGATTATGATGATAATAAAAATTATTGTTAAAATTAAACAATCTAATTTTAAAAAATAACTTCTACCATTTCTAGCACATAAACTGTAGTTCAGTTTATAGATCTTTGGTTCCTTTCCACTGTGACTCAAATGATTTTTTTTAATTCATAATAGTTGATTAAAAAAAAAATTGGGGGGAGAAGTTTTCGCTATAGGGCACGTGCGCTCACCAGAAAGACAGAAAAAGACAGAGAGACAGAAAGTGAGAAATCACCCCCCAGGGAGATG